GGTGTATGTGGCTGATGCCTTAGCCACTGAGCCACAGGCACCGGCCGAGCTGCCTTGCCATTTTGAATCATGAAGGCATTGGGTTCTTTAGAAATATAAAGAAGTAAATAAGTAGTACTATTATAATTTGTTTTTAATGTAAATATTTCCAATTTTTATTATGGTCATAATCAGATGTGTATTTTCACATAAATGATTGTTAGTGATTTGACTAGATAAGCCCTCCTAGAAAACTCAAATCAGTTGTTCAACTTTTTAAAGGTTGATAATTATTTATTTAAACTTACTGTCTCTCTTTGACTTATTTCTGAAAGTAAAATATAAAATTCCTTAAAATGTATCACTATCCCTGTAGAGACAAATAGTCGTTCTCCAGAGACAAGTTGGGTTATTTTTTCTAAAAACAATCAAGACAAATCATCATTACTAGTCAGAAATGTCTCTTCCGGAAATAATTTAGTATATTATACAATTTTTTTACATTTTTGTGCTACTCTGGGACAAAAAAGCAGGTACTGCCTTATTTTGTGTGCCTTGTCCCCTAAATTAGAAGCTCAATGAAAATTTTTATCATGCTGTCAACTTGATGTGGAATATTTGATAAATTCTAGAAAGTTTCAAATGCTTTTTTTTTTTTTTGCAGTTTTTGACCAGGGCTAGGTTTGAACCTGCCACCTCCGGCACATGGGGCCGGCGCCCTACTCCTTTGAGCCACAGGCACCGCCCTGAAATGCATTTTTAAATTATGACTTGTTATTTTGTGTGGAAGGAGGAGAAATGTTAAGTTGCAGTTGTATTTCATCAGGCTTTGCTTATGAATTGCCTTTATGTTAATAGGGATTAGGTTCAATCTCTATAACACATATTCAATCTCTAATATGTAGAGGACTTAAATTCTCAAAAGGAAAATAAATTAAAAGCTGTGCTATTTTATTTTGAAAACAATCTTTTGAAAGTACATTGTATACTTATTTGGGAAATGCTTTGGAAATGTCTTTTTCTACTCTTTTTTTCCTTCAACAAATGGTAGGGGAAAACATCTGGTATGCCCTATAATCCTGTTGTGATCAGTATAATGGGAGGAACACACTTAACCTTGATTTTAATCCCAACTAAGCCATTTATTGGTGTTATCTTAAGGGATATATTTAATTCTAATGAACTCATTTTCTTCCTGTATGAAGTTGGGGATCATCTTGCCTCTGAGAGGGGAGAATTAAATTAAATGACATCATATAGTATCTTGCACAGAGCTTGGCACACAGGACAGCTTAGTAAGCAGTAGCTCATATGTTAGTAGCTGTCACAGGGCAGTTACTTGCATCTACCCAAGATCCTCTATTCACCTGGATAAGGAAAATAAATGCCCTTGCACCTCATTAATTCAACAGAATATAGCCCTGTTTTGAAGTTGATCCCCTGCTTGGGTATTTTAAAGCTCTGCCACTAACATACTATCCAAAGCAAAAGACTGCATCAGCTCTTGTTGGGGGCCCTGTTGCTGCTGCTGCCTTACTTGAAATTGTGTTCTAGGGTTCTTTTCTCTGCAGTGGACTGCTGTCTTTTTCACAAATGACTTACATAAGTTCCTACTGACTTAACCCCTAAGCTACCTCTTCAGGCATTCTGTATTTATAAATTACTCTCCTGTTTTAAAAGCTCTGGAGTCACATCCTTGCATTTCCTGCCTCTATCTTAGTGTTACATTTATACTTCCCTACTTAAAAAAGGGGATATAGTTTAGGATAAAATATTTGATTACTTTAAAAACAGGAATAAAAGCTAGGAATTTAGGAAAAGAAGAGGAGTGGAGATAGTTGTGCCAGAAAACCTAAGAAGTAATAGCATTTGAGCAATTACATTTAGTATAGTGTTACCAAAAAAAGTAAATATAGTAGGTTTCACAATTAAATGGAACGTATTACAAGGGAAAAAATTTTCTAACATTGAATTCTGAAAGGAATTTACTGTTTGTGATATTATGTAAGAAGTTTTAAATAATAAAGTGAGTATATTATTAAGTAATAAGATGGGTCTTTGATGGCAGTTTTACCCTGGACAGAAAGCAACAGAAACAGTCTTCTGGTTGGCTGTGAATCTATCCATCTATCCATCCATTCAGGTATTACCTCATTCCGAGAAGAAATTAAGCCAACTTACAGAGATAGGTAACATAGAAACAAGCATAAGTTAATAATAATGAAAATCAAGGGCAGTGTTTTCCAGATCAGCCCTTAACAAAAGCCCCAGGTTCAATGTTTAATCCAGTGATAGGACTTGAAACAGAGCTGAGTCTAGAGGAATACATGATTAGCTTTTGTCTTCTTAGGCTTGCTTTCTTGAGTAGAAATTGTCTCTGCAAGTTTTAACAAAAATTTATATAGCAGGCATTTCAAAATTGAGATCGTTGTTAAGTATACCTGAAGCATAGGTATTGCCGTGTTGTCCATAGAGGTTAATGTGTTCTAGAGCTATGCTGTCTAATATGATAGTCACTAGTTATATGTGGTTATTCAACCTTTGAAGGGTGGTTAGTCTGAATTAAATTGTGTTATAAATGTCAAATACACACCAGATTTCAAAGACTTAGCAAGAGCTAAAAGTAAAAGATCTCAATAGTTTTTTTTCTGATTACATTGAATTGAAATGACAATTTTGAATATATTGTGTTAAATATATTAAAATTAATTTTACCTTTTTTATTTACCACTATTAGAAAATTTAAAATTATATATATGCCTTGCATTTGTGGCTCACGTACATCTCTATTGGATAGCACTCTTCTAGAGCTATAGCTTGCAAAGCCCATGCATGAATACACAGTTCTGTGGTATTTGCATGTTGAACATAACTCTTTTTCTTTTTTTTTTTTTTGAACACATTCTTGTGACTAATGTCTCTTCCCATAGCTTACTATATTCTATGATATTCATGAGAAGAAAGGAAGTTAGAGGTTTACACATAAGAGGTTTACCTGCTCAAGTGAGGAATCATGGCTTTAGAAATTAGCCTTATAGGGGCAAGATTGATACTGGATTATGTAGATTGAAGAGCCTTACTTACATCCCTGTTCTAATGCAAGCTATCCTCCTGTATCATCTAGGTCTGTGGTTCCTAACCCTCAGGCAGTAGACTGGTACTGTACCAGTAGGAACTGGGCTGCACAACAGGAAGGGAACACACAAAGCTTCATTTTGTATTTAGAATCTCTTACCATCACTCCCGTCACTGCCTGAGCTCTGCCTCCTGTTAGATAAGTAGTGGTATTAGATTCTCATAGGAGCATGAACCCTGCTGTAAACTGTGCATGCAAAGGATCTAGGTTGCATGCTCCTTATGAGAATCTAATTCCAGATTATCTGAAGTAGAGATGTAATGTTCTTGCATCATTCTGAAATCATTCCCCCCACCCCAGTCTATGGACAAATTGTTTTCCATGAAACCAGTTCCTGGTGCCAAAGATTGGTGACTGCTGATCTAGATGATGCATCTGTGCTCCTGGGATTCTGAGTGGGAGTTTTAGCTTTTCTGCACATGCACAAACACACAAACACAGATTTCAGGTATTAAGTTCATCTTGACTCTTATCACAGATCATTCTGCTTTGAGAGCTCTTAAGGGGTCCACTAGTACCTTCTGGTTACCTAATGCAACGAAATTTCTTGGATAATTGCTCTGATCATGAATACATATCCTCTAAGACTTATGGGAATGGAGGCCATTCTTAAATTAGCTGTTAAAGAGAAGGAATCTTCACTAGACTTTTACTCATGATGTCAGAATTTTCAAATTTTCAGTTATGAGTGGTGTTAGAATTTATAGATAATAAAATTTTAATATAGAAATCAAGAACATGACACTGCCTAGACAACAAAATATTGAATCTAGTACCTTGCTATTTATAAAGTTATTATAACTCCTTATATTTTCTGGTCCCTTAATATCTTTATTTTTTTTATACTACCATTTCATTATTCTTTTGTAAGACTGGGGATAACAAATTATAACTACATTATAACAAAAGGACTTATTTATTTCATATCTGATTTTTTTCTTCTCTATTCCTTTAATGTTCCCTTTTTTTTTAGGTTGCTGCTAAATGGGAAAAAATAAGCTTAGTTCTGATAGATGACTTTATTGGAACTGGAACTGAACAAGTATTGCTACTTTTTAAAGACTCCTTGAACTCAGATTGCCTGACTTCATTTCAAATAACAAATCTTGAAAACATTAACTATTCAGTAAGTTCTATTTACTTAGTATACATAGCTGTAAGAATGAATTTTAGAAAATATAAGTGCTTGCAAGGTTTTGACTCATTTAAATATTTGTGATTGTATACTTAACGTAACCTTTTGAACTTTAAAAATACAGAGATAAAATCTTTTAAATATGTATTCACTTTCCTTTCAACAAATGTCATACAAATTGACTAAGCTTTTGATATAAATTTGTAATATAGCATATCTGGTGGTCACTCAAGTGATAATAATAGTATGAATTAACTTTATTGTCACTTCCAAAAATCACATTTTATGCCAATAAAATGACAGTATTGGATTAAGGAACCCGCCAGCCTCGGTGTATGTGGCTGGTGCCATAACCACTGTGCTATGGGCGCTGAGCTTCTCTTTTGCTTTTTCATCAGTGAGCTTCTTCAGGACCATTTTTGTATACACCTCTCTGCAGGACCATTTTGTATATACCTTGCCAAGATTTTCAGTTAAGGTTTTCCTAACTGTTTCTCTGTCAATGTTTATATGGTCTATTATGTTTCTTACAGTCAGTCAACAATTTTGACACACAATTCAACAAATTTTTCCAATGTTTTTGTCAGTTCTGCTCATTACTGGCCCCCATGACTTCTCTTCATCAGTTGCCATTTTCTTCGTGGGATTAGCCCCATATCCCCATAAACTTGGACTAACATGTCCCTGATTTCACTTCTAGTCTTGCCAAGTTTAGCAAGCAATTTCATGTTTATTTCTTTCTCTACTTCAAGCTCTGACATTCTCACTACAGCACACAGAAACACCCAACAACAATAATGAATTCCGCTTAGCAAGACACTGGCCCCTGTTGTCATGAACACAGCTGTGCGACACTGATATACAAAGGTTATGAAACCTTACTGAGCTGTTTGTACATTACTGCCAATGTAAGTGCATGATAGCAAGTTTGTAAACTTAAGTATCAGATCTCATATGCATTAAAAGTATAGCTTTTATATTAAAAAATGAATACTAAAATTCTTTTATAATACAAAAACCAAGTACCTAAATATAAACAAATAAAAATATGAATTAAAAGTTAAAACGAAAAGATTTTTATCCTGAAAGTGTATGCCAAAAACATGGGTGTACATTATACATGTGCACACATTACATACAGCTACATATGTTATAACCCTGTTTCAGATCTATACAAAATATCTCTGATCCTCAGGTTTTTTGTTTATAAAATTAGGATAATTCTTATTTCCTCTAGTTATGAGATACTAGGATTTTATGAAAAGCTAATGAGCTGATCCTTTATTTAACCAGCATAAAAATGTAAAGTGGTGATAGGAATCTGTAATTTTTTTTCTCATTACAAGAAGATGATGGGCAAAAAATATATAATTTGCCTTTTGTAGAATAGCATATAACATGAGAAACTGCTCTTTAACTAGATAAACTTTAATTGCATTTTGTTTTATAAATGTTCAAGTCCAAAATTTCAGTTCTAGTGTTTTCTTTTAATTTATTAGAGTGAACCATTGGATTGCAGTGAAGATGATTTATTTGAAGGCAAACAAGACAATCGTCATTTGGTGATTCCACCTCTGGAAAGTAGAATAAAAGTTAGTATTTGCATTGTTTTTTTTTTTTTTTTTTTTTGCTTTTTGATCAGTGCTATTCTAAATAAAGTAAAGAACATTGAAAGAAAGGTTTTTTTTTTTTTTAAGTATAAGTAACTTAGTATTTGGGGAAACGGTAACATTTCAAAGGGTTTTTACCTTTTTTGGTGCCTCTGTAAAAAGCATTATGGCATTACTTATAAATGCATCATCTAAAAAGTATACCCTTTTCTAGTAAGAGTGTAAAAACTTACGACGAAACTTCATGAGAGAAAATATGAGAAGTTCACTTTTGAAAACACATTCTTTCTGGGATCAGTTTGGTATGTATCTCCTCTAGAGTGGCAGCAAATATGATAAATCATATTTGTTAAATTTGATAAATCATAAGACTTCCCATACATGAACAGTTTACTCTCAAGTTTTCCATAAGAAGCTTCCTAAGAGTTGTTTGTTTTTCCCAAATGTACCAAGGTAATGCATGTTCCCTGTAAAATACTGGAACTATGCAAGGAATATTTAAAGGAAACTAATGATTACTTGTGATTTTACTACTGAGGAATAACCACTTTTAACACTTTGGCGTGTATATTCTTGCAGATTTTTAAATGAATGTTTGCAAATTTGCATGGAAATGTGAATATAAGATGTATATTTTTTTTGTTGTTGTTTGTTTGTTTTGTTTTTGCAGTTTTTGGCTGGGGCTGGGTTTCAACCCACCACCTCCAGCATATGGGGCCGGCGCCCTACTCCTTTGAACCACAGGTGCCACCCAGATGTATGTGTTTTATAAGCTGCCTTTTTTGTTTATGAAAATTGTCAAATATATAGAAAAGTCCCAAGAATACAGTGATTATCTTGGTATCCCCACATAGATTCAACTAGTGTTACTTTTATTTTTATTTTTTGAGACAGAGCCTCAAGCTGTACCCCTGGGTAGAGTGCTGTGGCATAGCTCACAGCAACCTCCAACTCCTGGGCTCAAGCGAGTCTCCTGCCTCCATCTCCCAAGTTGCTGGGACCACAGGCGCCCGCCACAACACCTCGCTATTTTTTTTTTGGTTGCAGCCATCATTGTTGTTTGGCGGGCCTGGGCTGGATTTGAACCCGCCACCTCAGGTGTATGTGGCTGGCGCCTTAGCCACCTGAGCCACAGGCGCCAAGCCTAGCGTTACTTTTAAAAGTCATATTGCCTCATCTGTTTGTGGATATCTGTGTGTGTGTGTGCTTTTTTTGCAGAACCATTTGGAAGTTGCAAATGTTACTCCTTTGTATTTCCTCAGGAATCTCTTAAAAATAAGGATATTCTTCTATGTAGGCACAATACTATTACTAGACATAGAAAATTAATAATGATCCCCTAGTATTATTTACTATCCAGTCCATATGCAAATATATGTAGTTGTCACAAAAATGTTTTAGGGGTCAGGCATGGTGGCTCATGCCTGTAATCACTTTGGGAGCCTGACACTTGAGGTCAGGAGTTTGAGACTAGCCTGATCAACATAGTGAGACTGTCTCTACAAAAAATTAAAAAAAAATTAGCCAGGCATGGTAGCTCATATCTGTGGTCCTAGATAATTGGGAGGCTGGGGGATAGAAGAGATCTACCCACATGGTCCTTTCTTCTCTGCTCTAGCCCTCCAGCAACTCAAATGTGGGTATACATCTGATGGGTCCATCTCCCTTTCTCCAAGTCACAAATTACTGAGAAAATGGGTGATGGAGTGTGAATGATGTGGAGCCTACAGAACTAGGTCAGCATAAGTTTTAGAATATTAAGTAGACAATTTGCATACTTTGATGACGTAAAACATAGAAATCATTTGGACTTCATACTCCAACTTCTATTCATTGATACATAGAATTGAATTACCCGCCTTGAAATTTACTTTAAAAGAAAGGAATCCAAAGTGGGATGCATTTTGTTTTTTAAATCTAGAAAAACACGTTTTATTAAAAGCCGGATTAATACTTAAACCACCTCAGATATCTATCTGAAATGAAACAACTTCTATCATTTCAATAACACAACTCTTTAAATTTTCAGTAGCAAAATATATTCCATGAATCTTTCATCCTTAGTGTTGAAATCTGATAAAAGGATAGAATTGCCTGTGCCTACTTCAGAGCCAAATTGTTAGTTTTTTCGGTAGTTTTCAGGATTTTTTTTTTCAGTAGAGTCAACCTTACCACTGAATTTATTATTAGCACAAGAATTTGTGACAGTTTGGGAGCTACTATGTGTTGTCTTTAAAATTTTACTATAGGCTCAGCGCCTATAGCTCAACCAGCTAAGGCGCCAGCCACGTACACCTAAGGTGGCGGGTTCGAATCCCCAGCCCGGACCCGCCAAACA